AACGTCTACACCGACTCCCGGTATGCTTTCGCTACACTCCACATACATGGGGCCCTTTACTGGGACAGAGGCCTTCTAACCGCTAATGGAAAGGACATTAAGAATAAGGAAGAGATCCTGACTCTGCTAGATGCTGTCTGGAGCCCCACGGAGGTAGCAGTCGTGCACTGCCGTGAGCACCAGAAGGAAGACACCCCACAGGCTCAAGGAAATAGACTGGCTGATGAGACCATCAGACGAGCATCCAGGTGGTAAGCTACTAGTGCCTGGAAGGATGGCCCCCTATCTGGTGAGCCCAGCTCATCATATGACTCACCTAGGACATGACAAACTGGAGGAATTGATCCGAAGGTATTTTCTGGTTCCTCGCCTCTCCTTTCTATGTAGAACAGAATCCCGAAATTGTAATGCCTGCTCTCAGATTAATGCCACTCCAGGGTGCAGACCAAAACCCCCAGGCATCCAATTAAAAGGTACCCTTCCTTTTGAACATCTGGAAGTGAACTTCGCTGAGATGAAACCATATCGCCATTTTTGTTACCTGTTGGTCTTGGTATGTACATTCTCGGGATGGGTGGAGGACTTCCCCACCCGAACTGAAAGAGCATCAGAAGTGGCTCAGAGCCTGCTTAGGGAGATAGTTCCTCGATTTGGATTCCCCAGTAGCATAGGATCAGATAACGGCCCAGCCTTCATATTGGATCTGATACAACAAGTAAAGCCATGAATGTAAAATGGAAGTTACACACTGCCTACTGGCCTCAGAGCTCCGGAATGGTAGAACGAACTAACCGGACACCAAAGGAGACACTTTCTAAATGGATTATAGAGACTGACTGTTCCTGGGCAGATTTACTTCCCATGGCCTTGCTCAAACTCAGGATGACCCCACGGTCCCACAGCTACTCTCCCTACGAAATTGTGTATGGGAGGCCTCCTCCCATAATGAGACAGGTAACAACTGATATACTTCAGGTAGGAGGAGACGGGATATCGCAGCAGATGTAGGTAAGGTAATTAATCAAGTAACTAAGTTTGTGCAAGAAAGAATACTGTTCCCCTTGGGGGAACAAATGCATGAGTTTATACCAGGGGACCAGGTATGGGTGAAAGACTGGAAACATGATTCACTAATCCCCGGTGGAAAGGTCGTTATACTGTTGTTTTAACCACCCCTACCGCAGTTAAAGTTGCAGGCATTGCCCCTTGGATCCATCACACCAGAGCGAAGAAGGCATACCACGCTGACTCGAAAGATGCTGAGTGGACCACCCAGAAGGACCCCACCGACCCACAGGGAACCAAGATCATTCTAAAGAGGAAGAAGAAAATGAGGTCCTGGACTATCCCTCTACAGGATGGAGCTGGGCAAATGACTCCTGCTGCTCGGCCTCACCAAGGCAATTCTGAACCTGACCACTGTTCCTGCACAGGACAACGTCTTCATCTCGTGGGCACATTCTTACACGGACTTCCACAACTCCTCCAACTGTTGGGTATGTGGGGCTATGCCCCTGTCAGGACGGACTCCCCTGGTGGGTATCGCCACTCTGTTATGAGGACTTTATACCACTGTGCTCCTTCTTAGAGCAACAGGAAGGAACTTTCCTTTCTCTCACCAATCATAACCTTTCTTTGCTCTCCTGGTGTAAGAAGAAGCCATCAATGGGCCAGGGACATAGGGTTACATTTAACATGAACACCAGCCTTATGGAAGTAACAAAGGCTTATATCTCATATATGAAAAATAAAAAGGAAAAGGGCTCTCTTACAAAACGGGGACAGGCCTCCCGGTACCTTGAGCAATACTACTAGGTCTGGGATGAATATTTCTTGATGACTCCTGAGAAAGGACAGTTGATTACCCCTGCTACTATTTGTTGGGAACAAAAAGAACAGAAAGTTGGATTTGGAGACCTCCCCCTAGACCCAAAAGAATTAAAATATATGGGTTATTTGTCCCTTGAACAATGTAAACAAGTCTTGGAAGTTACCTATCACCCCAATCAGTCTGCTCAGTGGCCCGGTTCCGACTGGAAATATAATCCTGGAATCCACTGGGTAGCCCCCAATGGGACCCAGTGGCTCTATGGGCTTAACTTATGGCCATGGTTACCAGTTGGCTGGGTGGGGCATTGCACATTAGGATTTGCTTTCACCCATGGCAGTATTAAGCTTAGCCTACACCAGCCTCCAGTAAACCTGCCTTATCTGCATGCAAGGTGGACACGATCCGTGTTCCAATGGTATGACTATCTTGCTGCCTTGTTGGTACCCTCTATAGGGACAACAGATATCATGGTTAAGGTAGAGGCCTCAACTAATTTCACTAAACAGGCCCTCTTAGACAGTACTAAAGCCATTCAAGCTTTGAACAAAGAACAAATTCAGATGAGGAAGGCAGTAATTCAAAATAGGATGGCATTAGACATACAGCAGCCCGAGGAGGGACTTGCGCCATAATTAAAGTCGAATGTTATGTGTACATCCCTGACCTGTCTGGAAATGTATCTACTGCCTTGGAGGATATGCAAAATCAAGTGAAAGCCATGTCTAATGAAAATATTCCCTTTTGGACTTCAGTCCTCTCCTGGGTGAAGGGAGATGGTGGGAAACCATTGTAACTGTTGTTATAGTAATCTTGATCATACTGCTTCGTGGGCCCTGCTTCCCACAATGCCTTGTGAATTTTGTAACCCAGAGGTTGATAGCATTCTCTCATGTGGGTGGCAGGAGGGCTAAGGTACAATATATCCCAACGAATGATGCTCCTTACGGAAACTAAGAACATCAAGAGCGGGGAATGAAGAAGGAATTCATAGGGCCAGGACTCCATCTCAGGCCTATCTGTGCAGATCATGCTCGGCTGCCTCTCCATTGGACTCTGAACTCTCTGCTTAGTGCCTGTGAGAACGACAATGGAAGGATAAGACCCCCTCCGGACAGGGGACTCTTGAAGATCACACATCCAGGTTACTCATTGCCTAAGAGGAAACATCCCATAATCATCCCTGTCTCCGGACAGGTCATAAATTTTTTTCGTATCTATCAGGATGTCATCACAGGCTTATCGATTATTAACTGGTTCGAACGTGACCACAAGCTTATTGATTATTAACTGTTTGGAATGTAACTGCAGGCTTATTGATTATTGACTGTTTGAACACATAACACATGAATGATGGGGTTATTGTAGTTGTATTTACCCTTCCTTTGTTTATGTAAGTCTCAAGGAAATTGGAGTGGTGGGTTTGGACATGTACACATGGGGTATAAAAGATTTTCACAAATGCTGGTCGGGGTCCTTGGCTAAGAGGAGACTCTGGCTTGGGCCCGCTGGTGTAATAAACTGCACTCCACTATCTGCATTGTCCCTCTGAGTGAGTTTGTTTCCCAGAGAGCGTGGCTATAACACTGAAGACCCCAGCGAGGCTGAGATTTGTTTTAGGCTGGGAAGTAGTGTACAAAGCCGAGGTGCTTCTGGCAATGTCCCTGCATTCTTACCTTTAATTGATTATAGTTGATTTACAGTATTGTGTTAGTTTTAGGTGTACAGCAAAGTGATTCAGTTATATATTTCAGGTAATAAGAATAAATATATATATATATATATTTCAGATAATATAAGAATCTGAAATATATATATTCTTTTCCATTATAGGTTATTACAAGATGTTGAGTATAGTTCCCTGTACTATACAGTAAATCCTTGCTGTTTCTCTATTTTGTATATAATAGTATCTGTTAATCCCATTAGTAACCATAAGTTTGTTTTTTATGTCTATATTTCTGTCTTATAAATAAGTTCATTTGTATCATTTTTTAGATTCCACATATAAGTGGTAGCATCTGATATTTGTCTTTCTCTGACTCACTACACTTAATATGACAATCTCTAGTCCATCCATGTTGCTGCCAAGTGTCATTATTTCATTCTTTGTGTTGGATAAGTAATATTCCATTATATCTATATATATTACCATATATGTATATGCATCACTTCTTCATCCATTCATCTCTTGATGCACACTTATGTTGCTTTCATGTCTTGGCTATTGTAAATAGTGCTGCTATGAACATTGGGGTGCATGTGTCTTTTGAATTAGAGTTTTCGTCTTTTCTGGGTATATGCCCAGGAGTGGGGTTGAACTCCAGCATTCCTGAATATACCATTTCCATTTGAAGAGCAAGGCTTTTTGGTCCTTCCTTCCTTGTAAATCAGGACTGAACTATTTGCCCAGCAAAATGGTCTCACACTCACACATTTTCATATCACTCACAGGGAAGCAAAACCCAACACAAAACCCAGTGTGGTTCCTTAATTCCTCTGGGAATTTCAGGTGCTATATTATTTTTTTAAATATTTATTTATTTGGCTGCACTAGGTCTTAGTTGTGGCTGTCCAGATCTTTGATCTTCATTGCAGCATGCAGGGTCTTTAGTTGCAGCAGCTAGTCCCCTGACCAAGGATCAAACCCGGGTCCCCTGCATTGGGAGCATGGAGTCTTAGCCACTGGACCACCAGACAGATCAGGCACCTGGGCATTATAGTCCCTCAGGCATTTATTAAATATAAGTGAGAGGGTTTTGTTATAATTGCAAGAGTACAGAGATTATTTAATGGCAACTCTCCACATCAAAGTTGAGAATGCCTCCTGAATTGGGCACAGTATATTATCCATATGCACATTTGAATTTACATGAAAATACTTGAAAATGGAATAAGTTGATATAAAACCACAACAATAATCATTCAGTCTAAGGCATCAGTGGGAGTTTATTTTCTAATTTTTAAAGAAATTTTCAAGAGGGTCATCTCCTATAGTCTCCCAGAGTAAAATATAGCTCAGAATCAACCTCACACTGCTACACTGGTAGTTAAGAAATTTGCCCCAGTCTTGTGAACTAATGTCTGAAAAAATACTTGAAAATTACTGATATATAAGTTTTTGAAAATTGTATTTACAGCTCTAAGTAATTAACTTTATTATTTTTTTAAGAAAAAAAGAAAGGTCGTTCCTGGACAAGAATAAAAGCAAAATCGAGAAACATACATCGAAAAGGTAAGCAGCGAAGTGAAGTAGTCATACCTGTTTAGTTCATAAGACACTGCTTATCGTATTCCTGCAGTCTCTTGAGGACAATAATAGTTTTCTAGCTAATGTGTCAGTTAGGATACAGGCCAAGACACTGTAACAAAGAGACTGCCATATATACTGGCTTCAACAAAATGGTTTATATTTCACGTGTGCAGTAGTGCAGAGCTAAATGGTACAGACACTGTTGTCCTCAATATATGGCTTCTTTCCTGGGTCAAGAAATTATTATTAATTTGGAGAGATGTTCCAAAGAAGCCTAAATGAACAAAGTAGACTATATGTGTATGTGTGTGCAAGTATGTGTGTGTTAAATATATGTATAAGCCTGATGTGTTTTTATACCTCTATAAATCCTTATTTATACACATTTATCAATCTATGTATATAGAGAGACAGATATAGATACATGGAAAAATTAATGTCAGTACATCCAAAAAAACATATGCAGTAGTCATTGGAATATAGGTGACGTTTATATTTTTATGTTTTTTAAAGTTATATGTATAAATTCAAAATATTAAACATGTTCAACTATTGTAATAGAAAAGTGTTATTTAAACAGCAAAATGTGCAAAAAGAAAGGTCTAATGGGATGTTTTTGAACAAGGTAACTGTGGCTTTCTCCAGATGGTGATATTTCAAGCAATTTTTATTTTCTGAGTTTTCAGTAATGTGTATGTATTACTTCTCATCAGACCCATGAAATCTGTTTATTTTAGTAGCAATTTAAGGAACACTCTTCCTCTAGACAATGAGGACTGGACTTCATTTTCTACGTGATTTCCAGGTTTTTTTGGGCCACACCCTGTGTCATATGGGATCTTGCTCCCCTGACCAGGGATCAAACCCACAGCTGCTGCATTAGAAGCTTGAAGTCTTAAATACTGGACTGCCAGAGAAGTCCCTGATTTCCAATATTTGAGTCAGTAGATCTATGTAAGATTTTAGAGTCCAGTGAAAATTTATTATTTGTCACCAATCTATATATCTTGTGTTCTGGCCAATTTCTGTGGCTGCCCTATTAGTGGGATGTGTATAATATTGTTCAAAAAAAAAGAAAAGTGGTTGCATCCATTTTAAGAATAATTTATTTTCAAAATACTAAATATTTGTATTTAATCCTTTTAATATTTTCATATAGGTCTTTGTGTCCACAGATCAATTCTAAACCACATTTCCCCTAAGTATAATGAAATCTTGTACATAATTTAAAAGTCGTCCCTCATAAATAGAAAATGCTCTGGACACCTGCTTGAGATCCCTTGCCATAACTTTCTTTCTTGTCTGAGTGCACAGTTCAGGGGGTTCAGAATTAAAACCAGTACTCATTGCTTTTCTTTTTGGATACTTCTGAATTGAACATTAATACATGGTCAATGGTAGATTGATATGTTTTAATGTATTTTTACAATTAGACATCCGTAAGGTATGGTAGCTTGTAATATACAACTTATAGGGCACTTTTGAAAAACTTTAACACTTGACCTTCACAACAACTCTGTGATGAGACAGAACAACAGTAGTAGATCTATGTTATGGAGGAAGAGACAGAGAGTTAAACAGATTTTCATGGGTTTCTGGCTCCTAGTTTGTATTTTTCCCACTGTCTTATACTCTCTCTCATAACATTGCTCACTTGCTTTTCATCTCACATGTCAGCTGTTTTTTGCATAACTCTGTATTTTCCCCTGCCTAGCCCTAGACAACAGCGAAACTGCTGACCAGCCAGCCCCAAGTGAAAAGATGGTGAAAATGCGTCTGCAGGACCCTGTCAAGATCAGGAGTAAGACTGTGACACTTCTATTTTGCCCTGAAGGATCAACAGAAATTTTGCTACGCTTTTGAGGAACACAGATCTTCCCACGCACATTTTTTTTCTAGTCAAGCTTACCAGTCAAGTTGACAGCCATGAAACCTAGAAAGCAAACCTATTTGAAGCCAGCTTTATAAATCATTTGCATTTATATCATAGCTCTTATCTGCCCAGGATCTAAATTTTTCTCCTCTGAGTTTTATCTGTTTTCACAAAAATTCCTTTATCTCACATCTTTGGTTTATTAAAATGGCTAGGCTTTATAAATTGTAAGTAGAAACAAGTTCATTCTTTCATTGCCCTTTCAAATCAATCTTCTATTAAATTTTTCTGTTTGGGAGCAGGTCATAGAGCTTTCATATTCCCTTTTCACAGGAATAAGAGTCTTATCCAGTTATTGAGGGTCCTTTCTAGCCTGGTATTAAGACTAGTTTTTTCTCCAATTCAAAGCACCTCCACTCTTTCCTCCAGAGTAAGCTTGGTCTGTAATACCTATAGTGAAGAGGTGGCATAGCTGAGGTCTTTTCTCACTCTCTCTTGGCTCTGTTCTCGCTTAGGAACTTCTAGTCTGAGTCATTCAAGATTGGGAAAGTGGATGAGAGAGGAGAGATCAGATGTGGTAGCATCTTACCCGGCAGGCACAGCTGTGAGTTGACACTGTGGAGAAAAGCCCACAGTCACTAGCTCTTTTCTCCATATGATGCTTTCATCAACTTGACGGTGAGGGAAGAGGTGAGGTCAGGCCCCCAGCTTAAAGTTTTGGGAAAGAAATATAGTCTGTATATGAATGAAGATTTAGTACCTCCATAACCTATTCCACCAAAACTTTGGATGTCACCTACCTGGCTCAGTCCATTGCCTTCAGATGTGGGCATCTTCCTGCTTGGAAGTAGGGCAACCAACTCCACCTGGTTTGCTGAGGACCTTCCAAGTTCTGCCACTTTAAGTCCTACATCCTGGGTACCCCTTAGTCCCAAACAGACTGGGGCACTTGGTCATTCTTTTTGGCACTTAGTGAATTGTTCTCAACTTTTTGGACTTAGTACTACTAACATTTTTAGAAAACAGTATTAAATTAAAAATTGTCACATTTACTTCTAGAGGTTAATACCAACCACTTGGTCTGTTGCCTTTTAGTCTCTAAGTGAGACTCTTTGGCGACCACATGGATGTAGCCCGCCAGGCTCCGCTGTCCATGGGATTTCTAAGGCAACAACACTGGAGTGAGTTGCCATTTCCTTCTCCAGGGGATCTTCCCAGCCCAGGGATTGAACCCATGTCTCATGCATTGCAAGCAGATTCTTTACCACTGAGCCACCAAGGAAGCCAATACCAACCACAACAATTAAAAAAAAAAAAAAGCCTTAGATTATAATCTCCCATCCAAGTACTAACCAGGCCTGACCTTGCTTAGTAAGATCAGATGTGCTCAGACTGGTATGACTATAGACCTAGATTATAATCTGACTGCTATAGTATGTATTAGGGTTTGTTACAGAGCTTCAGTGTTATTAAATGGGTACTATAACCTGGGGACATAGAAATAGTTAAATCCTGCCTTGATCAGCCAATCAGTTTTGAAAGTAAAATATAATAGTGTTATATTATGAAGCAGTGGGTTTTAAGCTCAAAATTTCCTTTTACCAGAAGCTCCAAAAACTAGAATGGACTGCAGTGTATTTTATTGTTCTCCTTACAGATAGTAGGCTAACAGATTTGATGGCTTCTCTGGTGGTTCGAGTGGTAAAAAAAAATCCTACTTACCAATGCAGGAGACATAAGACTTGGGTTCAATCCCTGGCTGGGGAAGATCCCCTGGAGGAGAGCATGGCAACCCACTCCAGTACTCTTGCCTGGAGAATCCCATGGACAGAGGAGCCTGGTGGGCTACAGTACATAGGGTTGCAAAGAATAGGACTTGACTGAAGCGACTTACACACACACACACACACACACACACACACGCACGCACGCACGCACGCACAACTACAACACACCCATTACCCAGGAAAGGCATAACCAGAGAGTGGCAGACAGAGAGAAAGAAAGATCTCTACAGTTGCTGGACTGTCCAAGGTTGCCATTAGAGCCTTAGTGCCAAGCTGAGCCAGAATACAGAAGAGGCAAGAATGAGATGTCTGGATCTCTTCTCACTGGTCTGTGAGCATGGGCCTTTAGAAGAGGAGGGAGGTATGAGAAAGAGGGCCAGAAATATCCTTGTTTCCTAGAGTATTTTACCACTTTGGCATCTTAAGGGCTTCCCTGGTGGCTCAGACAGGAAAGAGTCTACCTGCAATGCGGGAGACCCAGGTTCGATCCCTGGGTCAGGAAGATGCCCTGGAGGAGGAAGTGGCAACCCACTCCAGTATTCTTGCATGGGAAATCCCATGGATGAAGGAGACTGGCAGGCTACAGTCCATGAGGTCGCAAAGAGTTGGACACAACTGAGCAACTTCACTTTCTTTCTTTCTTTCTTTCTTTGGCATCTTGGGTGAGCAAGGAGGTGAGGAGCGCCTTGAGAGCCATACCTGGCTGGATGGCCTTCTGCTGTGTGGTGGACCTACCTTCCAAAGGGAGAAACTAAGAGGAAGTCAAAAGATTAATCCACCTCTTTAAGAACCACATTTCTTTTTAGTGGTTCTCCCTGGCCCATGGCTATTACTTTTCTTCTATTGGGTTGGCCAAAAAGTTCATTCAAGATTTTCTGTACATTTAAAACCCAGACAAACTTTTTTGGCCAACCCAATACTTTCTTTTTTTTTTTTTCCATTTATTTTTATTAGTTGGAGGCTAATTACTTTACAATATTGTAGTAGTTTTTGCCATACACTGACATGACTCAGCCATGGATTTACATGTGTTCCCTATCCTGATCCCCCCTCCCACCTCCCTCTCCACCCGATCCCTCTGGGTCTTCCCAGTGCACCAGGCCCGAGCACTTGTCTCATGCATCCAACCTGGGCTGGTGATCTGTTTCACCCTTGATAATATACATGTTTCGATGCTGTTCTCTCGAAACATCCCACCCTCGCCTGCTCCCACAGAGTCCAAAAGTCTGTTCTGTACATCTGTGTCTCTTTTTCTGTTTTGCATATAGGGTTATTGTTACCATCTTTCTAAATTCCATATATATGTGTTAGTATACAGTATTGGTCTTTATCTTTCTGGCTTACTTCACTCTGTATAATGGGCTCCAGTTTCATCCATCTCATTAGAACTGATTCAAATGAATTCTTTTTAATGGCTGAGTAGTATTCCATAGTGTATATGTACCACAGATTCCCTATCCATTCGTCTGCTGATGGGCATCTAGGTTGCTTCCATGTCCTGGCTATTATAAACAGTGCTGCGATGAACATTGGGGTGCACGTGTCTCTTTCAGATCTGGTTTCCTCGGTGTGTATGCCCAGAAGTCTTTCTTACACAAGTTTATAAATCTCTGTAGGCCTCTTCCTTGAGCTCATATTACCCTGTTAAATAATAACAGGGTGACCACTTGCAAGGTTGTTGTAAGTTTTAGACCTTCTGATAAAGTCTAACCGTCAAGATTTGTCCCATAGGGCCATTTTGATCTTGAGAAATTGAAAATCCTCTCAGTAACTGTTTAGTCTTAAGACCAGAAAGTAAGATTATTCTGCCAACCAATGGACCCACTTTGGGTTTGATTGAAGGAAAGAGTCTTTTTACTTTGCTGGTCTGATATATGCTCATAGTCTGCTTAGAGTTTATAGCATTTAGGAAGGAGTAGTCTGGAAAATATTTCTTCTTGGAGTCTGAATTACCCTTCCCACCAGATGGTGGTCATTGGATGGTAAGCACTGAACTCAGAAAGAAGGAAATGAATTTATCTTCCTACCTTAGAAATAAAGTACATGTGAATGATAGCAAACTTTGAGATACATATCCACAGCCAATTAACTTGTCAATGGCAGGACATTCTCTGCTGCAATATTTACTGAGTCCATTCTTAGTTACTATGTGAAATCAAGGTTTTGGAGGACTCAAATCAACCCATTCCTCTTGGTTAGCATTCTTGTTCTTAGTTTCTTAGATTCCAATATCTTTGTTTAAACTCAGATGGACAAAACCCTTGGTTACATTACTAACACTTTCAATACAAATGTACGAATAGCTTCATCCCAGGTGATGTGTATGACATGTGTCTCACCTGCAAAGCCTGCCATAAGCTTCCTTATAACTCATTTCCCTTAATTGTGCATTAGTAGATGTACAATTGGCATCTATTGAACAGTTAACATATGGTTGCTTGGGATATAAGTAAAATGCTGATATCAATTTCTTGTTTGTTTTACTAATGTGCAACAATGAAAAGTAAAATATAAGTCTAAGATTTGCCATCTAATTCTTGGTAGCTTAAAGACTAGGAATGATATATTTTTCTTTGTGCATTAGACAAGCTTCTGGGAAATTACATTTCGGTGGAAATTCTGAAAAGCATTAATAGATGCAACGCAACTACATGTCTGTGACTATGATTCTGTTTTTCTATTTCTTCAGGGAAAAAGAGAGGCAGACCTAGACTCCACTTTACTAATAATGACAGAACCCCACAGAGAAGAGCTAGGTCAAGAGGTAAGGAGGAAAAAGGAAATATTGTCTCAATAATTAGGCAGCTAATTTCCTGTTTTGCACTCTGTTTTTATTGTTAAATCTATCTCCCTAATTGCTTTATGCAGCTTTACTAACAGAAATAGTTTATAATTTGGTTCAAAATGTGCCTGGATGAAAAAGAAGATAATTTCACAAGCAAGTAACTTGGTGACAGATCTAAACTAGACTCTGTGGGTTCAAGGGCTATCACAGTGATGCTCTCCCCACTGAACTGATCACTTTCAAGCTGGAAATAGTCTGTCTGCACATAAAGGGCACATACATAACCCACACATTATTTAACTGGCCCTTCTCTTGCTATACAGAGAGTCAGAGGTTGCACACCATGGATAGCCTGGAGTGGTGGTCAGAAGTCTATCATCCTCTTCTGATTGTGTGGGCTTGGGCCTGTCACTTGACTGCTTTCCCTTCAGTTTCTTCATCTGTAAAGTAAGAGGGTGAATTAGGCCAACCATCCTTCTCAGCCCATCCCAATTCTCCTAGTCTACTATCTCAAAACTGGACCATGGACAGCTCCCCCTCCTCCCATCATGGCTCTAAAACATTGACTGCAGGGTCAAGATCAGTTACACAGCCTCCTTGAGCTAGTTTATTCAAAGACCTTTCACCCCCACTTCTGTGGACTCAGTCTACAGCAGCCCTCTCCCCATGTAACTTGCAGATTATCCTAGAGCTTCCTGAACTTCTCTTTTAGCTAAAGAGAGTGCTGATAAAAGAAAGAAGCATGAAACAAAGCAGAGAACCCAAAGAGAAGGCCGACATCACCTCCATTAAGTTCCCCATCATTGCCCTCTTTGCTCACTCAGCCAGACCTGAAATAGAGAGATGCAAGTAGAGTCTCTCATTTTGCTCCAGCTACTTAACTGTTGTGAAATAGTTGGAGGATTCCCTTCAATGAAGAAAGAAATAATTTTTTTTTTTTTTTTGGCCTTGAGGCATGCAGGATCTTGGTTCCAGGACTGGGAATCAAACCTGTGCACCATGCATAGAGTCTTAACCATTAAACTGCCAGGGAAGTCTCATGGCTCCCTTCAGAATATGATGCAGGTGTACACTTCATTGTTGTGTAAGAATCAGTGAGGCTGACTGGATTGGGAGCTAAGACAGTTTTATTGAGGCCTGATTTTTCTACTAACACATTCTGTTTTGTGTGAAACTTGAGGGATGAGTTAGAGGTAGATATTCTGTAGTTATATATAAAAAATGCCACTTGGAAGAAAGGCTTTGACTCTAGTGGTGGTGGTTTAGTCACTAAGTTGTGTCTGACTCTTGAGACCCCATGGACTGTGACCTGCCAGGCTCCTCTATCCATGGGATTTCCCAGGCAAGAATACGGGAGTGGGTTGCTATTTTCTTCTCCAGGGGATCTTCCTGATCCAGGGATCAAACCCATGTCTCCTGCATTGGCAGGTGGTCTCCTGCATTGCAGGTGGATTCTTTTCCAACTGAGCTACCAGGGAAGCCCTTGACTCTAGAGATTTGTGGTATAAAGCTTTATACATCCTTTCATACATTTATAGGAACAAACTCAACATGGGAAAAGTGGTACAGATGTAACTGAAAATGAGACCATGAAGGAATCTTCTTTTTCAGGGAAAAGAAGGTACAGATATGAACATGTGAATTTTCACTCTCAGATAATTCCTGTGACCTGTGGTAAGGTGAAGGGGAAGTTATACAAGAAGAAATTGAAAGAAGGTGAGTTTTAATGTCTACTATGCAATGCCTATCTGAAGGGGTCTTGAGAAGTAATGGGATTACCTATGTGAATTACACATAGGTGAAGGTATGGTGGTGAAAGTATGCTTGAGAGAAGGAGGAAGGGATACCTAGGTTAATATTTTCATACTTAAGAAATCATACACATTAGGTTCTCACTCCCACATGGACGTGTCCACAGGGAAGCCAACGAACCAAAGAGAAATGAATCAGAAATAAAAGGGATGAGGCCCTCAGTCCCCACCTTCATGTCCTTTTTCCCTTGGGATGATCATCACCAGGGCAGGTGCTTGATGTAATGAGGACCAGCTCAGAATTCAGACTCAGATAACCTGAGTCCCAGCCTCTCCTGTGCCAAGAGGAACTGATTCATCTGAGTAGAGAATGGGACCTTTCTGAGCCTGAAATTCTTCATCTAAAAAAGAAATAATTAAATCCTGCTTCATGGTATAGCTTGAGGAATTAGTTTACATGATTGATATAAAGTATTAGTAAACAACTTAGCTGAGATACAATTCACCATCAGAGTGTACAACTCAACGCTGAATTTTGTTTGTATATTCACAAGATGGTGTAACTATGACCACAATCAAATTATAGAATATTTTTGTCAGAATACTTTCCCACTAAAGGAAACTCCATGTCTCTAAGTAATCAATGCCCAGTATCATACTCACCCCACCACCCAACCCTAAACTGTCTAATATATTTTCTGCTCCATAAATTGTCCTATTCTCAGTATTTCATGTAAATGGAATCAGGTAGTGTGTGCCATTTTGTGATGGCTCTCTCTCTTATGATGATAATTTCAAGATTCATCCATGTAATGGCATGTATTAGTAATTCATTCTTTTTTATTGCCACATAATATAATATTCCATGGTATGGATATACCATATTTTGTTTAGCGATCCATCAGTTTGGATTGTTTCCACTCTTTTACTATTACGAATAATGCTATTTTGAACATTCATGTTCTAGTTTTTGTGTGAACAGTCTTTAATTCTTCTCGGTATATACCTAGGAGTGGAATTGCTGGTTCCTGTGATAATTCCATGTTTAACCCTACTGAGGAAATATCAAAATGTTTTCTACAGTGGCTGTAATATTTTATCTTCCCACCAGCAATGTATGAGAGTTCCAATTTCTCTGTTTCCATGCCAACACTTGTCATTGTCTAATTTTTCCAAGACAGCCATCTTAGTGGGTGTGAAATGGTATCTCATGGTTCGGCTGTGCTTTTCTCTAATGACTAATGACGCTAACATGTGATTATCTTTTATACATAACTTGAGTTTTCCATTGGATAGCATTTCGCAATTACTTTTAATATCAGCTATCCACGGTTTGGGGGATGGGGAAATATCTGCTCAATAATGCCATTGAACTGGGTAGGAAGTGTGATAAAGGGCTCAGATGCTGCTATGGTGCCATTCTGAGCCACAAGGCACCCGTCGGAGATCTCAGTCCCAACCTGAGTTTCTGCTCCCATGGGCCCAAGGTCCTCTCCCTGGCAAATTGAAATGCTCTCACACTTCAAAATCACTTGCTTTTCCTTTGTAGGTGATTTTGAAATACTTTTAAAAGGTTGATTTTAATGGTAATTATCATTTTTGTTGTTGTTGCACATCGGTTAAAGAAATGTTGCCACAAGGCAGTGAATCTCCTGTGAGGGGACTTGGAGGCTAGGTGTGGGGATTCTGAAGCCTGAAAGGGGAGGCCAGACTCTCCTGTTGTAGACCTTGAGCCTAAACTGGGTGTGTCCAGATCCAGTGTGGTGGGAGCCCACCTTCTGAAAACAAGGAAGGCTGAAGATGAATTTACCCTGGTCTTACAGGAGTCCGGGTGAAGTGTATACAGAGTGAGAGCGGAGACTGGTTCACCCCCAGGGAATTTGAAATCAGAGGCGGCCACGAAAGATCAAAGAACTGGAAGTTAAGCGTTCGCTGCGGAGGGAGGCCCCTGCAATGGCTGATGCAGGTATTCTGGGGGCCAGGGCAGAAGACGTGACTTTCCTTGTCGTCCCCCAGGACTAAGGTCACTGTTTGCCCACCAAATATTTGTTGAGTCATCACAAAAGCTCAGATGCCTCTGAGTTTATCCTCTCACCCAGGGAGAGTGTTCCACATTCCTAACCTCAGTACAACTTAGCACATCACTGCTGTGAAAGAGGCAGAAAATTCCACTTCCTTTGTCAGGATGGAATAGGAGTTCAGAGAAGAGAAGGATCATTCTGACTCAGGTGAATGTAGTCAACTTTATGCACTGGAAGAAGACAGTTTACAATCAAACAGGTAGGAAGGAGGTATTCCAGAGAAAGAATGATGTGAAAACCAGAACCATGCCCAGTGGGTTGAGATAGACATACTGTATATAATAAGGTATAATCCATCAATTCAATTGCAGTTGTTTGTAGAGGAATCTAATGCCAGGCTAAAGTGTTTAAACTCATAGACAATGCAGAATCAATGACGTCTTCTAAGATATGAAATGACATTTTTAGAATAGTGTTTTAGATGGCCGAGGGACCCTGAAACAACTCCAGAATCTTTTCAGCTCAAGAAACCTACACCCAACATGCAGTGCTCAACTCAAATGCCATTCTTCCCTGAATATTTCCTGACCAAATTGGCCCTGGCCATTTCCTCCCTGGGCTTCCTGAGCCCATTACTAAGATCCTCTTATAGTTTTATTCTTATCCTTTCACATTGTTTTTTCTATGTCCATCTTTGTGTGTCCAAGATTGTTGAGAATGTCTGACACTCAGTAGGCATGGGATAAGTGTATATTGATTGACAAGCCTTGGTATATGGACTCAAGCTTGAGTGACTGGTAGGAATGGAGAGCGGGTGAGAGGTGTCAAAGAGATTATATAGGAAAACCTCGTAAAACTTAAGGGGAAAAGCACAAGAGGGGGGAAATGTTCTAAAGATGATTTTAAAAGTGTCACAGATTGAGTTCTAGAAGAAATACAAATGAGGAGAGGAAGATTGTTTCTCATTTAGATACCATGGCTTTGGGCTGACAGTGGGACATCCAGGTAGAAATATTTGGGAAGAGGTTGGAAGTGCCAGACTCACAGGCCAACCATATACTTGGATCTTTTTATCTTTCAGAGAAGATTTCTCCATAATCCTCCAAGGAAATATTACGGGAGAAGAAAGGTGATTATTACATAATTTTCTAGAAATTCTCATCACATAATTGATTTTGCATGCACAGTGTATTATTTTGTGGTTTCTCAACTGTGTAACACTCTGCTCTCACCTTTAAAAATCTTTTGGCATATGCCTTCAGTCTCACTTCTTTGAACACTATGTTGTTCTGAATGGCAAGGTCTTCTTGAATGGTAAACCATTTGAAATAGAAGTGATAAGGAGCCATCAGAATAGATCTCATGGATGTGCTTTAGCTATAGATGTGGATGTTGTCAAAATTGTAAAGGCAAGCATGATTCTGGAGTATGTAAAAGTATATTATGATAGGGTGATAAGGTCATCTTCAAGTCAAATCCAAATTTTTTAAATCAGTGTTACTGTTTTCTAACTTTAATGAAATCTGATGGAATGAAAGTATGTTCACAGTCATTCAGAGAATCCCAGTCTAAGATCATCTACCTTGGTCCATATACCATTTTGTAATATAGGCAACAAGAAACATATTTCTTTTCTGATCATTTCACCCCTTAATAGTCTACACACAGGCATACTCTTTTTTAGGGGACCATTGTTTGCCCTTCATGAAGATGGTGCTGTCAGATAGGAAGCTCTTGGGAGATCAGTGGATTGTATAGGAGGGGCTGGCCAAGAAAGCTGGTTACTTTGATGCCACTCTTTTGCTGTGCAGACCTCCCTTCTGTCTATGAAAGTGATTCCTTTCTCTATGGAGACAATAAATATGTAAGACGCAGTGTAGATTCAGGACACGGAGATGGCTTTTCCAAGTTTGGGTATGAATGAGAACTTGAAGATGGAGGTGAGAAGTGCTGTTCTTATGTACTCCACATAGAAATGGCCATTCAAGGGACTTCCCTGACAGTGCAGTGATTAAGTGTACCTTTCCAGTGCAGGGGGCATGGGTTCAGTCCCTGGTTGGGAAACTAAGATTCCACATGCTGCATGGTGCAGACAAAATAATTATAAAAAAAGAAATGGCCAATCAAGACATTCACAGAACTTCTAAGACGGGTTACACATAGTTGGCCCATGGGACTTCATCTTCCACTGGGAATGTGAGATCCAGGACTTGACATTATCTGAGGTTCTGGACAGTTGGAATTCTAAGTCCTTGGGACATTTTACCTGCTGGATTTTCTGCGGAAAACTATTATTTGCCCTACTTAGTATCCTGAAGACCAGCATCTGTATCATTCCCCAGGTGCCAAGAGTGACTCAGTTGGTTTACCCGAGTAAGCTGGCATCTTCCTAACAACAGATTCTACCCTTAGTCATGGGTACAACACTTTTTAGCAGCAACCTGCAGTTGCCTCTTCATTTCTCATCTCCCCATGCACAAGAGCAGATGTTCCCTGAATGGCAAACCTCAGGACCCATTACTACTTCCATGGGTCTTCTGTGTTTCTCAAAACCTCTCTTTTCCTTGGCTTTGGGACTCTTCAGTATCACTCTCAGCACCACATGATGGCTTCCTGGCTCCTGACAAATGTCACTAACACCTTTTGATGACAATTGCAGTGTTGTAAAATAATTGTAGGAGATAGTGGAGGACAGAGGTGCCTGGCATGCCACAGTCCATGGGATCGTGAAGAGTTGGATGTGATTTAGCAACTGTACAACAATATTCCTCTAGAACAATCTTTTTAATATTGGGTAATATTTGCTTAAGAGATAGCAAGTAATCTCTTTTCCTAAGTGGAAAAAAAATTATTAATTGCTCAGTTGTGTCTGACTTTTTGCAACCTCATGGACTGTAGCTCACCGGGCTCCTCTGTCCATGGGATTCTCTAGGCACAAATACTGGAGTGGGTTGCCATTTTCTCCACCAAGGGATTTTCTAAGTGAAATGATACTCATTTATTCACTCATCCAACATACAATTATCAAATGCTTACTAAATGCCCAATGGTCTTTAGAAGATTAAAACAATATCCTTGACTCAGGGATTGTTTCAACTTCATTGCCTAACATGGAAGAATAACTAAGAGGGTTATTGTTGTTTAGTTGCTAAGTTGTGTCCCACTCTTGTGACCCCATGCACTGTAGCCTCATGCACCAGGCTCTTCTGTCCATGAGATTTCCTAGGCAAGAATACTGGAATGGGTTGCCATTTCCTCCTTCAGTGGATCTTCTTGACCCAGGGATTGAACCCACGTCTCCCGCTTGGCAGGGATATTCTTTACCACTCAGCCACTTGGGAAGCAGTGAGTTTAGAATGGGCATTAGAAAGGTGGGCAGTGACATAGCCACCTCTCAGGTCATTGACCACTGGATTACACTTGTCCATGACCACTCTGCCCTGGGCTGGAGATCAAAGCTGAGGCTACCTGTGTCCTAGAGCAGTGGTCCCCAACCTTTTTGGCACCAGGCACTGGATTTGTGGAAGACAGTTTTTCCATGAACTGGAGAGGAGGGATGGTTTCCAGAGGATTCAAGTGCATTACATTTATTGTGCACTTTATTTCTATTATTATTATCTCAGCTCTATCTCAGAGCATCAGGCATTAGATCCCAGAGTTTGGGAACCCCTGCCCTAGAAGGTTAGAGGCCAGGTCATTCTATTGAATATTGGAAAACAGTGTAAAGCTAGTGGGTGGTAGTCAGTTATCTTTGAAGAGCCAGCTAGCTGACTTCTTTGGATTCAGAGGGAGGGGAGAGAAGAGTGATCTTCTGGAAGAAGAGCTGCAGCCCTGGAAAGTTTGGGCACATTTTATCATTGAGGCTGTTCCCCAGGAGACCTGTGACAGGCAGTGGCATTCTCCTCTGGGATATTTGCATGAACTCCAAGACTCCAGGCCCCATGGTTACCTGGGTTGTTGATGATGAATCTACTCTCACTGCAGCTCCTTCGGGTGGGATGGCATTTTATAATGTAGAGAAAAATGCCCAAGGGCCTCTTGAAGTAAGAAAACCAACAGAGCGCCTCCAACTCCATCTGTGGGAACCAGGGCTAAAGTCCCCAGATGGCTCCACCTTGCATCTAAGAGCCAGGGAATAGAACTTGTTATTGGGCTAAACAGTGGTCCAAGTAGATACATGTATCCATAAAAAACAGGTGTGAAGTAATGGGTGAACCATGGCTTGAATCCCTCCAGTGACTGGTGCTTAAATAAGTGATGGATACATACATCACATTCAATATTGTCATTTAATCTTTCTTTTCTGCAGAAAAGAGGACTGAAGTCTCACAACAACACCTTAGATGACCTTTGTGTAAGTACTAACTCCCACCTGTGACCCAGACTAACGCAGGCCATTCCCTCAGCACGTTTTCTCTGAGTCATCCCATTTCCCTGAAACATGCTCACACTCAGGTGGAGTGTGTCGCCATGGGTGATGAGCAGGGCATAGCAGATACATCGCCCACTCAGGTACATGGTTCTGGCATTGGGTGTCTTACCTGAAAGCATCCTTTCTGTTTTTCAGTGGAAACCTTCCCATTTCCTCTTTCCCCTTGAAAGTGCGAATAGGAGACAGAGCTTGAGACCACTGGGGGCTCTAGAGTCTGGGCTTGACATAGTAATGGGCACAGCTGGCCTGCAGATGGGGGATAAGGAGGAAATTAGAGGGAGAGCAGCATTTTAAAGAAGGCATTAGAGAAGGAAAGAAAAATCCCAAACTTCTATTCCAAGGTATGGGGAGAGCTTGATGGTTTTAAGCATCAATCAGAAGGAACAGGCTAGGTGAAACCGGCAGGTTAAGATTTAAACACTGTCATGGATCCTGCAGAGAAATGCACTTGGGGCTGGGGGTTCTTTATGGAAGCCCTACATCCAGTCTTGAGGGAACCATCATGGTGCTGAGCTGGTCACCATCTAGCAAATCAGGGCATTTTAACTCAATCTGGTACCTTGTGATTGGCTGCTTTGTGTGTGCGTGTGTGCTCAGTCACTCAGTCGTGTCCACCTCTGTGTGACCCTATAGACTGTAGACCACCAGGTTCCTCTGTCCATGGAATTCTCCAGGCAAGAATTCTGGAGTGGGTTGACATGCCCTCCTCCAGGGGATCTTCCCAACCCAGGGACGGAACCCGCATCTCTTGTACTGGCAGGCGGATCCTTTACCACTGAGCCACATGGAAAGCCCTTTTGATTCCTTTCACTGCAACAAAGTAGACATTTGCAGCAGAGTCACCTTTGCACAGCTCCAGGGGGCAGCACTCAGGTGGGATAGTATGCAGTAATGCTGATGCACAGCATCCAATAGAGGAGGAATAGTCAAATAGCTTTACATATGCTTTACCTCCAAAGTAATGCCCCAACAAGATTTAGATCTTGTTCACACTCTTTCTGACCCTTGGCCAACTGAAGGATTCTTCAGTCATCTAAACAGTGCTGGAGTCCAGTGTTTGCGTGGCTTGTTTGGGATGGACATCGGCAAAGAGGGTCAGGTCCCATAGCCCACAGCCAAGAGTCCACAGGGAAGAGGAAGCAACTGTTCCAGCAAGAGGACCCTCACTGCCGTGACTCAGTTTTCCTGGGACTGATTGTTGCTATTCAGTCACTCAGTTGTGTCCAGCTCTTTGCAACACCGTGGACTGCAGCATGCCAGGCTTCCCTGTCCATCACCAACTTCCAGAGCTTGCTTAAACTCATGTCTATTGAGCTGGTGATGCCATCCAACCATCTCATCCTCCATTGTCTCCTTTTCCTCCTGCCCTCAATCTTTCCCAGCATCAGGGTCTTTTCCAGTGAGTCACTTCTTTGCATCAGGTGGCCAAAGTATTGGAGTTTCAGCTTCAGCATCAGTCCTTCTGATGAATATTCAGGGTTGATTTCCTTTAGGATTGACTGGTTTGATCTCCTTGCAGCCCAAGGGACTCTTAAGAGTCTTCTGCAACACCACAGTTCATAAGCATCAGTTCTTCGATGCTCAGCCTTCTTTATGGTCCAACTCTCACATCCATACATGACTACTGGAAAAATCATAGTTTTGACAAGACGGACCTTTGTCAGCAAAGTGATGTCTCTGGGACTGATGTTAGAGGACAGTTCAGCATTGAGCTAAACCCCATGCCTTGATAACAGACTTTGCTTTGACTAATATTCAACTTAGACTGCAACTAAGACCTTTGGAAAATAGTATTGCTGGGATTCCAACCTAGGGGAAATTCTGTTTATCAGTCTAGGCTAAGACTTGGACATCAGGATTGTTTAAAGGTCCCCAGATGATTCTGATACACAAAATTACCCATTCTATGAATTAAAGAAGAAAACCAATAGCTCTACCCCACCTGGACAAACTGATTCAGACTTCTGGCGTTGGGACCAGGACATTAGTATTTTACATACACTGCCCTGGAGGTTCTAATGTGCAGCTAGACTAGAACAAAGAGGTAGATAAATCTACTAAAAAATACACAAATGTGAGGTTCTTGGGGGACTTCTCTGGTGACTCAGTAGTAAAGAATCCATCTGCCAATGTAGGAAATGCAGTAGATGTGGGTTTGATTCCTGGGTCAGGAAGATCCCCTGGAAAAGAAAATGGCAATCTAGTCCAGTCTTCTTGCCTAGCAAACTCTGTGGACAGAGGAACCTGGTGGGCTACAGTCCATGGGGTCACAAAGAGTTGGATATGACTGAGCAACTGAGCATGCACGAGGTTCTTAGACATTGGTCATATCTGTTACTCCTTGTTCCTCTGGGGAGAGGGGTCATTACTTTCTGGGGAATGATGATGGCAATCTGTGAGTGTTTACCCTGAAGGGAAGAAACACGGTCCCATGGCTCCATGCCAGAGCAGATTCAGTCCCCAGTTGGGGATGTCCTTGAGGATGCCCCATAACATTGAATGGGAACTTTAGGCAAGATGGTCCTTGGGGCTAGCACTTCCTCATATATGGCCATCTCAAAAACAAAAGAAATGGCCAGAATCCCAATTCACCCAACACAAGTAGCTTCATGCAAAAGCCCAGAACAAGACTCAAAATAATTGTTAAAATAATCTTGTACTGCTTTCTATACTAAGAAGTTTAATCCACTTTATTAAGTTCTCAATATATCACTCTCCCAGCAGTCAATTTAATTATTGTGGTATAGGCAAACACATGTAACACTTTATTTCAGGACTTTATCTCTCATCTGCGAGGTAATAAATTCCTATCAAATTACCTTGTTTTGCTTCTAGTCTTTCAGTGTTAGACTCTCTGGTTTTACAGGGAAGACTTTTTTGGTCCGACATACCGGCTCTTCCTCGTCAGTTTCACTGCAGAGCACAGTTTCTTCTTCTGAAATGCCCACACCGTGCTGTTCTTTAATGTCTCCGGGAGAAGTATGTGCGTCCATTCAGGTTCACACAAAGGCAGTGGGTTCTTGATTCCCAGGCTTCTGGCCTTCTGGGGTCTCACTGGGGATACAGATGTTGTTTTACCTTCTAGCTGGGAAACTCAGATGAGTGTGAGACCTGCCGGGATGGAGGAAAGCTGTTCTGCTGTGACACTTGTTCGAGGTCTTTTCACGAGGACTGTCACATCCCGCCGGTGGAAACTGAGAAGTACGTGAGATGCTGCCCCTCCCTTCTGACTGGGGACCTTCCCTCTGGCCACGCCCACTCCCCCTGCCTAGTTCTTACTACGTCTGGATGGGGAACGAGCAGGCCCGTGGGTACAGGGTCCAGAGATGCAGAGATGCAGAGAGCCGCTTCAAGGTGCGGGCAGTGGCAGGTGGATGCTTTTTGCCACTCATATCCTCTAGGACTCTGAGGCTGGTAGCCAGGTCCTTTGTCCATATGGCTTCTGTCCTTTCCTAGAAGTTTTCCAACCTGGACTCCTGCTCATAGGGGTGGAAATGCACTTGTTTATTGTTGTTGCTGTTGTTCAGCCACTCAGTCGTATCCGACTCTTTGCAACCCAGGCTTCCGTGTCCTTCACCATCTCTCAGAGTTTGCTCAAACTCACGTCCATTGAGTCAGTGATGCCATCCAACCATCTCATCATCTGTCACCCTCTTCTCCTCCTGCCCTCGGTCTTTCCCAGCATCAGGGTCTTTTCCAATGAGTTGGCTGTTCTGTGCTGATTCAGAAAACACAGGAAGCACAGGCTGGTTCCCTCATTTTGTCACATTATTGATGGGCTGAGGGACCCCAGGGGTAAGGCCCAGTTTTGACACTCAGGCCGGGTGGACAGGATTCTTTGTGCTCCCAGAAGTGGACACAGAAAGGAGAGCCCCCTGCTCACTCTGACACCAGCTCCACACATTGTAATGGGGGTCATTGACTCAGACCCCATGTGGTGGTCTTGGAGACTCTGGAGGTACCCCCTTCCTCCCAGAACTGTGTCCACCAATGTTCCTGAAAGAAGGACGGTGGCAGACATGGGAGTGGCAGGTGTTTCTGGGGACCTTGTCCTCGCTCACTTATGCCCGGCCCGTAGGAGCCCGTGGAGTTGCACCTTCTGCAGGATGACAGAGTCTTCAGGAAACCAGCAGGGTCTCCAGGAATCTGAGGTCCTGGCGAGGCCGATGCAGCCAGAGGAGCAGCTGGTGAGTCAGATGGGAACCCAAGCCTTCCCCTTCAAGTGTGAAAAGTCAAGCACAGTGTAGGGTAGTCACTGACCGTGACTCAGTCACACTCAAGTCACACCAGGACTTGTTTGCAGCCGTTGTACGTGTGTGTCCAAGAGCCACCCCCGCCTGGGGAAACTTCCAGAGACTGGTGTGAGTCATGCTTGGCCTGGGGATGTGTATGGGGCTCAATGTCTCCAAGCTTCTTTTTGTTCACAGCTTCCTTCTTTTGCAGAAATGTGAGTTCCTCCTCTTGAAGGTCTATTGCCATTCAGAGAGTACCTTTTTTGCGAGGATTCCATATTATTATTATGTAAGTAACCACAAGAGGGGCTTCCCAGGTAGTGCTAGTGGTAAAGAATCCACCTGCCAATGCAGGACACAGAGGAGATGTGGGTTTGAGGAAATCCCCTGGAGTAGAAAAGGGCAATCCCCTCCAGTATTCTTGCCTGGAAAACCCCAAGGACAGACGAGCCTGGCGGACTACAGTCCATGGGGCCACAAAGAATCAGACACAACTGAGTGCACATAGATACACACTGATCCTAAGTAACCACGACCAACAGTAATCGCAGGGTGCCATGTTGTTACCCCATCTGGAAAGTGGCACCTGTGATAGTCGAGGCCGGAATCCCATGGGAGCAAGAGAATGAGCTACTGTTATCGTTACCTTGTTGTGTTTCTACCAGATTTGATGGGAATCCACAGGAGGCACCGGTTGAACTCTGCCAGTAATGCTCCCAGTGACTTTTGCTTTTCCCTAGATCAAAGAGGCTTCTAAAAACCTCAGGGAACCCATGTGGTTGGACAAGATCAAGAAGAGGCTGAATGAGCAGGGCTACTCCCACGTGGAAGGGTTTGTGCGGGACATGCGTCTCATCTTTCAGAACCACAGGGCCTCTTACAAGGCAAGTGGCTCTCTCTGCTTCCATTTCACTTTCTCTTCCTTTCTTAAAATTTTATTTTATTTGTTTTCAGCCGCACTGGGTGTTCATTGCTGTGTAAGCGCTTTTTCTAGCTAAGGCAAGTGAGGGGCTACTCTCTAGTTGCCTCAGGTGGGCTTCTCATCATGGGGGCTTCTGTTTTTGTGGAGCACAGGCTCTGGGTGCATGGGTTTCAGTACTCGGCCCACAGGGTTAGTTGCTCCACAGCAACATGAAAGGAAGGTCACTGAGCTAACACAGCCACCCTGTACTATTTGCACTATTACAAAGAACACAGATTACTTTTCTGACTCTCACTGAAATCAGCAACCTAGCCAAATAAGTAAGAGCTCTCAAGTGTGGTCATGATTTTCCATTTCTGTCCTGTAAATATGAAATAATCAGGCTCTTAAGAAGCATAAGTTACTCTTTGCTGCAAGAGTTTTTAAGCATAACCTGGTTCACATAATTCAGGATGTCAAAGATAAGAGTTGATCGTCCTCAACTGCAGGGTGTCCAGTGATATTGATAATAAAGATCATTATTTTGTGTTCATTTTATTATTTTTTTCCAGTTCAATGACTTTGGCCTAATGGGACTTAGACTGGAGGCAGAATTTGAGAAGAATTTCAAGGAAGTGTTTGCTCTTCAGGAAACAAATGAGAACAGTTGTCTGGAATAGTGGATGTTGTTGGTGTCCTGGAAATTCCCCTTTAGGCCAAATATCTCATTCCCCAGATGCATAAAGCATTGGCTGCTGATGTCACCCCTCCCCAGAGCACTGCCTTCAGCCAAGTGGAGCCAACTTCACCTGGAGGTTACACAGCCTTGGCCTGGGGGCCGGCCACCGGTCGACCCAACCTTCATGCTCTGTGCATCGTATGGGATCAGGCTGGAGCCTGTCTGAATACATCCATCCTTAGCTTTTTGCTTAATAGTGTCCTGCTTCCCTCATCCCTTTCTAGCAAAGAAACACAAAATAAATTACTTAAGTAAAAGACTTTATCGCAGAGTCTGTTTCTAAGGAACTCAACTTAAGATCATGGTCTGACATGGAAGAAACCTAGATGCCCATCAGCAGACGAATGGATAGGGAATCTGTGGTACATATACACCATGGAATATTACTCAGCCATTAAAAAGAATTCATTTGAATCAGTTCTAATGAGATGGATGAAACTGGAGCCCATTATACAGAGCGAAGTAAGCCAGAAAGATAAAGACCATTACAGTATACTAACACATATATATGGAATTTAGAAAGATGGTAATGATAACCCTATATATAAAACAGAAAAAGAGACACAGATGTACAGAACAGACTTTTGGACTCTGTGGGAGAAGGCAAGGGTGGGATGTTTCAAGAGAACAGCATCGAAACATGTATATTATCAAGGGTGAAACAGATCACCAGCCCAGGTTGGATGCATGAGACAAGTGCTCGGACCTGGTGCACTGGGAAGACCCAGAGGGATCGGGTGGAGAGGGAGGTGGGAGGGGGGATCAGGATGGGGAATACATGTATATCCATGGCTGATTCATGTCAATGTATGACAAAAACCACTACACTATTGTAAAGTAATTAGCCTCCAACTAATAAAAAAAAAAAAAAAAAAAAAAAAAGATCATGGTCTGAGCAAGCAGGCTAAGAATGGGCTCTGGAGTTGGATCACAGCCTGTCAGATGGTCCATGGTGTGCTCTAATAGTGCAGTTGCTAAACATTCACTTGTAGGAAACTGGATGAGATAAAGGCAAAAAGGTATACAGTGGGTGATATTCTTTGGCATTTACAAAAGAAGAAATGCTGACTAAAAAACTGGATTTTGGTGGCTATCATTAAGTGCCCCTAATATATTGAAAAGAGTAAATGGCAGGCTTAAATTTCTTCAGTTTAGTTCAGTTGCTCAGTCATGTCTGACTCTTTGCCACCCCATGGACTGTAGCACACCAGTCTTCCCTGTCCATCACCAGCTCCCAGAGTTTACTCAAACCCATGTCCATTGAGTCAGTGATGCCATCCAACCATCTCATCCTCTGTCGTCCCCTTCTCCTCCCGCCTTCAATCTTTCCCAGCATCTCAATCTTTCCAGATGAGCCAGTTCTTCACATCAGGTTGCCAAAGTATTGGAGTTTCAGCTTCAACATCAGTCCTTGCAATGAATATTCAAGAATGATTTCCTTTAGGTGGACTGGTTAGATCTCCTTGCAGTCCAAGGGACTCTCAAGAGTCTTCTCCAACACCACAGTTCAAAAGCATCAATTCTTCTGAGCTCAGCTTTCTTTATAGTCCAACTCTCACATCCATACATGACTACTGGAAAAACCAGTAGCTTTGACTGTACAGACCTTTGTTGGCAAAGTAACGTCTCTGCTTTTTAATATGCTGTCTAGGTTGGTCATGACTTTTCTTCCAAGGAGCAAGCGTCTTTTAATTTCATGGCTGCAGTCACCATCTGCAGTGATTTTGGAGCCCCCAAAATAGAGTCTTTCACTGTTTCCATTGTTTCCCCATTTATTTGCCATGAAGTGATGGGACCAAATGCCATGATTTTAGTTTTCTGAATGTTGAGTTTTAAGCCAGGCTTTTCACTTTCCTCTTTCACTTTCATCTTCGCTTTCTGCCATAAGGGTGGTATCATCTGCATATCTGAGGTTATTGGTATTTCTGCTGCAATCTTGATTCCAGCTTGTGCTTCATCCAGCCTGGCATTTTGCATGATGCACTTTGCATATAATTTAAATAAGCAGGGTGAAAATATACAGCCTTGACATGCTCCTTTCCCGATTTAGAACCAGTCTGTTGTTCCATGTCCAGTTCTAACTGTTGCTTCTTGACCTGCATACAGATTTCTCAGGAGGCAGGTAAGGTGGTCTGATATTCCCATTTCTTTAAGAATTTCCCACAGTTTGTTGTGATCCACATAGTCAAAGGTTTTGGCATAGTCAATAAAGCAGACGTAGATGTTTTTCTAGAACTCTTTTGCTTTTTCGGTGATCAAGCAGATGTTGGCAATTTGATCTCTGGTTCCTCTGCCTTTTCTAAATCCAGCTTGAACATCTGGAAGTTCACAGTTCACGTACTGTTGAAGCCTGGCTTGGAGAATTTTGAGTTTACTTTGCTAGTGTGAGATGAGTGCAATTGTGCAGTAGTTTGAACATCCTTTGGCATTGCCTTTCTTTGGGATTAGAATGAAAAGTGACCTTTTCCATTCCTGTGGCCACTACTGAGTTTTCCAAATTTGCTGATATATTGAGTGCAGCACTTTCAAAGCATCATCTTTTAGGATTTGAAATAGCTCAACTGAAATTCCATCACCTCCACTAGCTTTGTAGTCATGCTTCTTAAAGCCCACTTGACTTCACATTCCAGGATGTCTGGCTCTAGGTGAGTGATCACTCGATCATGGTTAACTCTGTCACTAAGATCTTTTTTGCATAGTTCTGTGTATTCTTGCCACCTCTTCTTAATATCTTCTATTTCTGTTAGGTCCATACCATTTCTGTCCTTTATTGTGCCCATCTTTCCATGAAATGTACCCTTGGTATTTCTAATTTTCTTGAAGAGATCTCTAGTCTTTCCCATTCTATTGTTTTCCTCTATTTCTTTGCATTGATCGCTGAGGAAGGCTTTCTTATCTCTCCTTGCTATTCTTTGGAACTCTGCATTCAAATGGGTATATCTTTCCTTTTCTTTGCCGTTAGCTTCTCTTCTTTTCATAGCTATTTGTAAGGCCTCCTCAGACAGCCATTTTGCCTTTTTGCATTTCATTTTCTTGGGGTGGTCTTGATCACTACCTCCTGTAGAACGTCATGAACCTCCCTCCATAGTTCTTCAGGCACTCTGTCTATCAGATCTAATACCTTGAATCTGTTTGTCACTTCTACTGTATAATTGTAAGGGATTTGATTTAGGTCATACATGAATGGTTTTCTCTACTTTCTTTAATTTAAGTCTGAATTTGGCAATAAGAAGTTCATGATCTGAGCCACAGTCAGCTCCCAGTCTTGTTTTTGCTGTCTGTATAGAGCTTCTCCATCTTTGGCTGCAAAGAATATAATCAATCTGATCTTGGTATTGACCATCTGGTGATGTCCAAGTGTAGAGTTTTCTCTTGTGTTGTGTTTGCTATGACCAGTGTATTCTCTTAGCAGAACTCTATTAGTCTTTGCCCTGCTTCATTTTGTGCTCCAAGGCCAAATTTGCCTGTTACTCCAGGTATTTCTTGACTTCCTACTTTTGTATTCCAGTCCCCTATAATGAAAAGGACAAAATCTCTTAATCGCCACCTGCAGCTGGAAGGCAGACAGTAAGGAAGTCCTGACACAGACTCTAATTTTAAGAATGGGAGAACATGGGGGAAGATTGAAGCCTAAATTTAAGATGGGCTCTTGTGCCAAAGGCAGAGCCCTAGTGAAAAAGGAGTGACCCCTGAATCAGAGTTGGGCTTCCCAGGTAGATGCAAGAGAGAACTTTGAACCTCAGGTCTCCCTGAACCCACAGGCCCTGCAGAAGAGTCCCTTTCCCCTGGTTGGAAGACAGACCCCCACCCTTCCCCCATCCTAATCTTGCTTGAATGAAAACTCTGCAGAGTCCTCCCAACAGGACCCCACTGGGAAAGTCCTGGGTCCTCTTGCCAGCTGCAGCAAGAATTTACCCCATTGGAGTTGCAGGACTGGCCAACATGTACAGCAGGTACCAGGAGTCTTGGGGTGACTCCTGGACAAAGAAGGGGAATATGAAACAGGAAAAGGAAAAATTGTTAATACAGAAGCACTCCTCTGTGCCATGATGTTTAATTACCCTGGCAAGGGCCAAAGGGGATTATTCAAGTATGTTCCCAGTAGCTCTTAAAGGCATACATATAAGTATATGCACATGCGTGTCACACACTTATGTGTGTGTGTATATATATATATATGGTTAGAATGACAGCTGGAGCGCTGGCGCATAGATGTTTATGAAGATAGTTTTTTAGGACATGGTCATTAAACTTATTGTGGCAATCACTTTACTATGTATATAGTCAAACCATTATTTGTGTGTGTATATATATGTATATATATATATTTATGTGTATATATATATAAATCACTAATTTAACAAGGTAATAAGGAGCATATAACTGAGGAGCACCAGCATGCCTGTGATGCTCTCTGGGGCTCTCCTCTGTAGGTTAGCATAAGGGAAGAATGCGTTTCTCTTCCTTTCATTTTGTACTTCTATGAAATAATGGATGTTCACTAAACTTATCACGGTACACACTGAATGAAGTGGAAGCAGAGATACCAGATCTACCAGGAAAAGGAGATCCAAAAGCCTTGGAGGTTAGCACAGCTCTACTTGCTACAACTTGAAAACCCCCCCACCAGGTGCCTGTGCTTCTCAAGAGGCCTCACAGACACTAACTCAGCAAGGTGATAAGGAGCACACAGCTGAGGGGCACTAGCATCCTTGAGATGCTTAGGCTGTCCTCTGGTTCTGGTTGGCATAATGGAGGAATGTCTTACAGAACTGGATTCCCAAGTAGCAATGGAAGTGATAGGATTCCAGAATGATAGATACCAGGTGGCAGCAAGATGGCAAGTGTCAGAGCAAGATGAAACCCTATTTGTAACGTGCAGTGAGGTTAGAATGACAGCAGGGGACCTGGCTCATAGATATCTATGAAGATAGTTAATAG